AATGGTGTAATACAATTAACGTCGAATGAAGTCGGGGTGATAAGTTTATGAAGGATCGAAAGCTGCTTCTAATCTTAATAGAATGAAATCAAATAAACGTTTTAAGGCAGAATCTTTCATCAGGAAGAGCCCGTGTTTATAAATGTCAGCAGTTGTTCGGTAATGGATCCAGACAACTTCTACGTTTAAAATAATAACTGTATGTTGTGTAAAATAAATTTCTTGTGGCTGTCGAATAAATTACGCATAGTGCCCAATAAACTACGTATAAAAATAGAGTAACCGCTTTCGTTGTCTGTAGTATACGATGACTTGAGCATTTACTACATAAGTAATTATACAATGAGAAAATGTAATGTATTTAGAAAAGAAAATTTTTGGTGGTGTTATAATGTTTAACGGTCTGTGTAAATAAGAAATAAGAAGATATATTAAATCACGTCAATTTGTTATCACTATAATAGATATTTTATAAGCAACAAGTGTATAAATAATTCATTCGGATTTATATTTCATAAATTTAAATATACATCTGGTTTTATCAAAAAAGTATATCTTGCAGTCTTAAAATTATGTAGACCGATAAACCATATCTTCGTATCTAGTTGAATCTAATGACATCCCAAAATGCAGTCGATAGTTTATTTAAATTGTTTAATTAAGTATCATTTACAATATATAGACTACTTAAGTGTGTACTAAAGCTGTTATAAAATTCTAACATAGCGACCACTCATATAGCATCATTATTCATTTTAATAAAGAGGAAGTAGATCAAATCATCACCCCTATTTAATTATTAAACCAACATAGTTATTGAAAGAATTTTTGTCTGCAACAATAATGCTTATTAACATTTCGAATTTGTACATAACTTATTATGCTTAAAATTAATGTTTAATGATTTTACTTATTGTTATTTTGTTTGATTAAATTAATACAGCTGTTTACGATGTAGAATTATAATTAAAATAATATTAATATAAAATCCGCCCGTATGTTATTACTATAAATTATAAATTATGTGAGCATGTTTATTGTGGAAGTATAATATAAAAACCCACTGGCACTATTTACTGCTTCCTTATTAAAACATTCACTTTGATTAGTGATGTAACACAACAAGTATAATTTGCATTTACTTAACTTTATTTTTACATATTATTATCTCAAAAGTTTTAACATAGAGTCATTAATATATTAAACGGGAATGTACCATTGTACGACTTATTTTTGTCAGGAAAAAATAATAAATTTATGTTATAATAGATATGCTATTTAATAATGAGATAGATTTAAGGGTAATATTTTGAGAAATTTATAAACGAAGAATAATTATATTATATACAGTATGATAGTTTTGCATCAAGCGTGCAATTAAAATCATATATATATTTTTAACTTTTTCAGGCATTATCATTATTATGGGATGAGTACATTTTGATATGACTTGAGCCAACGCATTGAGAAAAATTACCGGATGAACTACTATAATTTTCTCATGTGGACTCTAAATGAACAATTTTCATATTTAATCCACTTTTTTGCCATAATTTAAACAAAGCCACCAATCATTAAAATTATTATTTAATATATTCTATTTTACGCCAAATTCATAAAGGTTTTATTTTACTTAAGTTTCACTAAAAACCTTACATTGAAATTAAGCAAACGATAATCTTAATGTAGTTTTATTCAAAACTGTTATCAATTCATAGTTCAGTTATAATCTCAGTCACTTTAAAATTTATTTTTACACCTCGAAATATTTTATTTATAGTGAATATTCAGACATCGTTTAGAAAAAATAATTTACCTCTAGAATTTTTATCGTCTTACAAACCTCTAAGTTTATAAACTACTAATCATTTATTCAAACCAGAGCCGTATCCAGAATTATTTTACAGGGTACAAAATATGTTGAGTTTATATATATATATATATATATATATGTGTTATTTATATACAATATGTATTTTATTTTATTGGTAGTCAACCGTAGAAACCCCATGTATACATATTTGGTTTTAACAATTTTCTAATGGTGTTGATCATACTTAAAGGTCCGCAAGACAATGGTAATTCGAGGCAATTTATTTTTTCTGATGACGTCCGAATTTTACTTGACTCGCTAAGATCGTTGATGAATTATTTTTTTCAATAAGAATTTTGCATTTTTTCCCTAAAATCCACCGAAATTAAAGCTATTGGGTTTAAATTATATTAATTACAATAATATTTTGAAAATTAATAAAAAATATATCATATTAAGATTATGATAACAATTAAATAAAAAATTAATGAAAAACGAATATAATTTTAATATAGATCAAGACGTTTATTTTCGATAAAGAATTTTATTACTTTTTTTGTATTTTCTGAGTCAGGGTCTAATGTTGATTATAAGTAATATCTTAATTTTAAATTTATATTATTATACTTTAATATTATTTTTAAAGAGCTATTTTTTAATTTTCAGTATAATCTAAGATAGTATCTACTTAATGATATGCCTTTGCATTTATTTTCTACTGCAAGAATGGCGTCTAATGAAGGTAGTTTTATAAAAATAGTATGGAAATTTTGGATTTCTAAAGCATTCCCTACGTCATACTAATGTAATATTCAAATGTAGTCATTATTTTTATATGGGACACAAATATTAATATTTTTGTTAAGAAATAGTATGTTCATAGATAGGTATGTGTATATTCATTTTTCTATTTCCTCATACATTGTTTTTCTGAAAACACAACTCTAACCTAATGAATCATGTACTATTATTATAAAATTACTTTCGTCTATATTTTACTAGATTCAAATTACACGTTTTTAACTATGTAAAAATGTTAAAACTGATGTTCAGTATATTTTTTAATGTCCCTTCTGTTACTAAAACTAGAGTAGATTTCTATTTTTTTCGAATATTGTTTCAACCTTTTTCGCTTAAAGAAAAATACAGACTTTTCTTTAAATATTGTTTTTTTATACTTAAGTGTATGAAATGATTAATGAATTTGTATCTAAAATATTGAGTTACTTTGAAATTACATTCAACTAAAAATGAAATCTAATATTATAGATAACATAAATTCAATTAAAAGAAAAAACTTCATCTACTAATAATAAAACATAAACTCAAAATTGTCACGTGCCAATTATTAAAAATTAGCTTTTATCATATGGGATTTTTTATTGGAGATTCCATTATCAGTAGATTTACATTTTTTTCATACTCACTTATGTTCACGCTCAAGATATTATTTTATATGCATATTGTTGTAGTATGTAATTGTTATATAATGTTTAATGTGTGCACAAATACATTGATTAAACGCTAACGAAGACAAAAAAACGGAAGCGAAATGTGATACTTAAATTAATGGATTTTTTCACAATGATGCTAACGATCTGGAGAACTTTTTCATGTTTATAAAAGTACTATTATGTTTAAATTTCCCTGTAGTTCTATTTTATTTATTTTATTTTACAAACAAAGATTTGTAACTACAATTTATTTACAGTAATAGGTTTTCGCGTTGAAACGTAAAAATTTGGACAAATTCTTAGACACTATTCCGTAATTTTAGACAGTAAATTTCAACCCTTAAGTCTATAAATACATATTTTACAAAAATAATGTATTCCGAGAGCTTTAAAAAGCTATTATCATTTGAAAATCACATTTTTGTGTTTGAAATATGATTCTACTAAAAGTCCAATGGATTATTTTGGCTCTATTTTTATGATAATAATTCCTTAGTTTACAAATTATTTATGTTTATTTTTTATTGCATTGAACTAGACCCTCTATATAAATTGCCAAATAAAGTAATATACTTTAGATTAATAAACAAAATCTTGAAATATGTTTTATTATTTTTAAGGATCTAGTTTAAATAAAACATTCTTTAAAATTTTTCTAAAAAATCAATCTTAAAATATTTGTTTATTTTCATTATTTTATTAATTACGGCTTACTTAAATTGTTTCAATAGTTTATTGAAATCGACCAACAATTATTTTAAAAAAAAAAAAAAAAAACGTAATCCATTAATTTTTTAGTTCAGTAAAAATAAAAGAGTTAAAATAAATTAGAAACACAATTTGTTATAACAATAGGAATTAGACTCATAACAGCAGACCATTATATATATTTAAGTAAACATCACGTCTAAATAATAACAAGTATGTAAATTCTAAATGTATGTATGTAAAAACTCAACCGGAAGGGTAAAATACTCATCTCTAGTTCTCACATTTGTTCAAACTACATTTCCCACGGAATTTTACTATTTAATTTTTCCTTGTATAATAGTTTGAAAGTTTTGACAATAAATAACATGCGACATTAAAACTCTTGTTGTGACTAAACTTATCGGTGATAAAATTTCTTTTGTATTATATTAGCGTATTTGAGTAAAATTCCAACGAAATAATTCAATTTAGATTTTTCTCTTGTAAAGTTTTGGTAATTATTTAAGATTAAAGAATCGCTATTAGTAAAAATTAATACAGATATTTAGTTGAATAAGTTTTTCATTTTTCACTATGTGTAGCTTTTTCACTGTAATTTATCATTTATTTATTTGTGTAAATTTATGATTCAAATGTTAATTTTAATTATTGCACAACCTCCTCGAAAAATTATTTAATTACATTTTTAGTATGCATATTTTTATTTGTGTAATTTTTCTCAATAGTTAACATACATAAAAATTAATAGCTTTTAATCATTTTTTGTTGTTCATTATTTTCCCCATCTCATTAAATAAATATCCTAGGTAGCTAGATAAAAATTAATATTACAAAGATAAAATAATGTTTCCTAGGTAAACAATTTGGTTGTAAATAATTTTAGAGTTATTTAATTTGAATAACATAATTAGGGTTAACGTAGCTTAATTTAAAGTGTAGTGTGAACGTTGCGTTATTCGAGTGAATTTCGCCTTGACGTGCGTTATCACAACACGGAAATATTGTATTTGACAAATACACTTGATAACACTTAAAAACTCTTTCATACATACACTTACGTATATAGAAATAAATAATTACACTGTTCGTTGACAATTTGATCTATTTGACATCTAGTATTGTCATCTCTGACTCTGACTTACTGTTGATAATACAGTCATCAACTCATAGTATTTCTAAGCATCCAACTAGTTAGTCATGAAACTTTTGACTAATGTATTATTTGGTTTAATTTTGTTTCTTTTTTTTAAATCTTTATAAAATAAATGTTAAATTGACAGTGAATAGTAAAAAGTGAATTTTTAAAGAATTTTTTTTTCTTCAAAATTTGGTGTAAGGTATTAGAAACTGTAAGTTTAAATAATGAAAAAATAATTAATATGGTTGAAATTCTATAAAACTTGTACTAGAAGTAATTTTAATTTTCCATGTATAATTATTATCTTATTATACTTACATTAAAATTGAATTATAATTATTGCATTTTAAATATTTGATATATAGTTTATTAAAAATCTTATGCTTGACTGTGGTAAGTTTAAAACATTGCATTGAGAACACAATTGTTATTATGTGTTATACATACATTTTACTCTCAAATTATTATGTTAATAAATTGTATTGAAGTTTTTAAAAAATCTGTATTACTATTTTAAAAAAAAATTAAGTTTTTTATTATCAGTTTGTATAATGTACTTAATATTTTTTAGATGAACTTGTGCAGCCAAATGCTGAAGATAAATTGCATACCACTGTGTTTCAGCAATCAACTACATTAACAGCAAAAATGTGGCCTCCAGTAAGAAATTGTTTTTAGTGTTTCACTATTGCAATATTATATTTAATTTCAATTCTTTTTAATATAAAAAAAAGTTTTAATTAAATTATTCAATAAAATAAAGCTTTAATAAGAAAAAATTCTTGTAGGAGTAAATAAAGATTATGTCAATATTTATTTAAATAATTTTAAATATTTTATATTTTTAACAACATTCTTGTTCATTCAAAAATTAAAATTTTATTTTTTTTTCAGGATATGACTAGTAGTTTTGATTGGAACTGGAATATTCTTGGATGGCAAATGAATAAAGATCAATTTTCAGTTATTATCATATGTACAATAATTGTTATAGTATTAATCTCAACAGCACTTGTGTTCATTATTTGGTATTGTTGTTTTTGCAATAAAAAAACTGGTATGATAAAATTAATGTTGTAACCCAAAAATGATTGATAATATTAATATAATCTATTAAAACTGTATTATTTTGTGTTATTGTTTTTAGAAGAAAACAATGGTGAAGAAGCTCAAAGGAGTACTACAAATTTACCAGGGTAAATAAATGCAAACTTTTTTGCAAATCCTTCATAAACAATTTTATTATTTTTATACTGATGATATCACACTGTGAGTGTATGAAAACCATACCTTAAATAATGTAATTTTGAGATAAATGGCTTCAAGTTTTAACTTTCTATAGCTTTTACGTTGTGTTATATTTTTACTTTTTGCATTTATTTATTTTCATCATTTATATAAAGTTCAAATTAACTTTTAAGTAAGTTGCATTTACATATTTAGATTGAGAATTTAATTGTTTAACATTCTTTCTGAGAACTATTGCTTATGCCAGAGATTATGGAAAATCTACATAGTCTAAAGTAATAGAATTGAACCTGTTATGTACGCATTGATGTGCAATGCATTACTAGGCTAGAATGGTAGTTCAATTGAATTATATCTTAATGTCAAATTTCATGAATTTTGATATGTGGCTTTAATGCTCATAGTGCAATATTATATCGAAGAAATAATTAGAAAACAAATTGTTTTACTCCTTAAAAAGCATCTTGATTTGTAGACATCAAATGAAACTTGTAATCAATAATATCATGCTATAGAAAGGAAAGTGGAGCAAGTCGACACCCTTTTAAGTTTACCATTAAAATATGAAATATTACTTGATATATTGAGACATATATTTAAAAAGCTCATTAATTAATAATAATTATTGTTTAATTTGAAAAAGAAGTTAAATATGTCATCTTGTCTCAGGGTAAGATAATTTTTTTAATAGAGCAATTTGGTGTAGTTTAATTTAGGTTATGGTTAAAAAATCTACTCTCCCCTAACTAAAAAATGTAAAATTGAGTTTGTACAAGAAAAAATGTTTAGGAGCCAAGTATAATGATAATATGTATAATGTTTGTTATTCAGAAAATTGTAAATGGATTAAAATTAAATTTTTTGGCATAAAATTTATTAATCTCAAATTTTTAAACATTAACATATTTAAAAATTTGCTGACTTCAAAATGCTATAAGTTTTTTTAAATGAATCGCAAAAATGTATCGAGTCTCTCTTTTTTGAAAACTCTTTCAATAATGTGTATCCATTTGTTATGAATTTAACAACCTAATTTTTATTTTTTTACTGATAAAATCATTGAAAGTAAATGACTAATGAAGTCATTTTTGCACTCTAGAGCAATTTTTAATCCATATAGGTGTTTATTATTGAGTAAAACTTTGTACCTTAAAATAAACTATATAATAATTTAAAAATTAAACTATCAATATAAAATTACTGTAAAATTGGCTTAAGTTGACCACTTCCAAGCTCAAACTTAATGTTTGAAGAGATGTTTTTAATAGATTATTATAAGAAGTATGTTATGAAATTAGACATTATGCAATTATGACAACTATAAAAAAATAGTTATTTTTGTCTAGTATAACCCTATGCAATTTTTAATATTTTAATATTACTCAAAAAATTATTTCTAACATGAAATGAATGACTTTATTAAATTCAAATATAATAAAATAGATAAAAATATTTGCATCTAATATTTATTTTCCTGGAATAAAAACTACTTTTAAAACAAAATTAACTATAATTAAAAAATTGGAAAATAATATGTTAATTAATGAACTATAGTTTAAATTATTAATGAAAAACTATTCAAATAAATAATTTTTATTAACTTTCATAAACTTGAAATATGAAATAAAGAGTTAATTCTATGATATAAAATAACTTATCACAATAAATTATTTGTACAAGTCACAAGACTTTGTAAGCTTTTAATTTCAGGTAATTTATTTATTAATTTAATAAATAAATAATATATAATATAATAAAATTAGTAGATGATATTCAATATTAAATCACTATAAAATATTCTTTATTTCAATGTTTTACATGCTATACATTTTTTATTGATTATACAAGAGTTTAATGAAACTTGATGTTTTTGAAATTATCAATTTAATAATAATTTGTTTATTTATTATATATTATTTTTACAGATACTCTACTGTTTTCTTAGATCCAAAAACAGGAAATTTTGTATACAGTAATCGTATTGTTGAATTGTTTCCTGAAAGAGAAGGTTCTCCAGATAATTGGTTTTTCAATGATCAAGTTGATGAAATACCACCACCTCCTCCACCAATGATTATTAACAGTAGCGTTCCAAGATCAGCTTCTGTTCCACCAATAAAACAACTTCAATCATTTGTATGTATCATTAATGTTCTATACAATTTTTTTATTAATATTCAACGTTGCCTTATTTTTTAGGATCCATGTATTCGAGAGATCAAAAAATCATTGAACAATGTTAATTCAGAAGAGCCACATTTAAATTATATTGATAATGAAACTCAACATAATCCTAAATGCCCAATGCCTGATTCATTACCTCAAATCTCAGAATTCAATCCTCAACAATTTACCTCTAGTAGTTGTAAGTCATTATAATTTTTAACTAATCAATATATAATAGTCAAAACTAATCAGTTATTAGAAGGATGGGGATATATACTACTCATGCACTCAAACTTTATGGTTCATTGTGTATATTTCATACAGAATTTTATGATTAAAATTAGTTATTACCATAGTGCAATGTTTTTATTTAACATAGCATTACAGTCATCCATTTAACTCCTATACCCAATAGTTGAAGATTCATCTACCTTGAACTAATTGATGATTTATCATAAAGATTTCCACTGTTAGTGTTTCATAATTTGATGTCTCATTTGTATTATAATGGTTTTTTCTTTTTTCATTATCCGTTGATTTTCTATGAAGCACTCTTATTCTTACAATTTCCTTATTTGGATTCTTGATTTTCACAAGATTATTACTTATTGTGATTTTTGTTTATATTCTTATCATCATTATCCATCATGTTCCCACAAAAGGCTGAGAAAAGTCCACAGCATTTTTTAATACTGTAGTAGGCTTTATGTTCTATGGCAGGGATCAACAACCTTTTGACATATACAAGTCATATTTTTGTTGAATACTCGCATCATTCTAGATTATTATGACTTATAGCTTTAAAAAATCTATGTAATTGTCTTCTATAAGTGAATTTTTTAAAATTAGTTTTAAATATCAAAGCATTTTACAATTAAAAAAAAACCTTAAATTCACATTAGTGGGTTTCAACTGCTTACTTAACTATTTAATTATTTATCATTATTATATACACGGTTATAATAAAAACTTATTTCTAATTCAATTCAAATTAAAATTAGTACATTCTTAAATACTTGAGTAATTAAAATATGTCATGATTAAATTGTCTCATTTCCTAAATTTTAATTGTTTTTCTATAATAAATCTAATATATATACATAAGTTTTTATTATTTCAGTCCTAGATAATTGTGAAAAATGGGATGGAAAATCTCTTACAATGCGAACAAGAAGTCTTCCTGCAAATTGTCGAAGTAAAAAGAGACCTTTTTCAACCTCAGATAATATTAATGAACTATACGCAAAGGTATAAAGACTGCATAAATATTAAAAACAAAAAAAAAAAATTTTAAGCGAATTTACTTAATTTTTAGGTAAACTTTAGTAAAAAGAGGAAAAACCGTATGAGAAATGATGAAGCAGCTATTATAGCTATGAGTAAATCTAGAAGTCAGTTTCTTAATAATAAAGACACAGATGTTTTGGTTGAAAATGAGGCCGTGATTGTATATGATGAACGAACTGCATTATAAACTATTTGTGATATTTAAAGAATAATTTTAAGTAATCATTTATATAGAATCTCCAAATTTTGTGGAATTGTGATAATTAATATTATTTCTCCGATGACCAGGGTTATATTGTAGTAAGGGCATTTTATAATGGTAGCGTTTTAAATTTTTATATACCAGTATTATTTTGCATTAATATTGTGCTCCCTTCTTTTGAATAATAACTATAATTTAAAATAATTTCCTTGTAATAAGTTCATTTTTTACTTATCAATTTTTTTTAACATACCTATTCTTATTACTTACTATTTTAATGTGAAATTATTTTCAAGGTTTAATAAATATATATAATTTTTATAAACATTTGAATTATATATCAGACTTTTTATAAAACTATTTTGTTGTAATAGTCAACTATATAAAAAAAAAATTATGTACATTTCTTTCTTTAACATGTTTAAATAAACTTTTTTATTAGGAGAAATCAAAATTTGTATTTTTTAGAATTAGCTATTTATTTTCTGATAATTTGTGTTTTATTTACTATTATTTATTATTGTAGAATTCTCACTTTTAAATAGTATAGAATTTTTTATTCAGTAGTAATAATATAAGATTTTGGCTAGAATTTGTAACAACTCAAAATTCTTGATTCCTCTGATTTTTACATCAACATAAATTAAATTAAATGCCTCCTTAATGAACATCTAGTTATTTTGAAAATTATTGAAATAATAATGAATAGTTCAATCATAAAGATAATATTGTATACCTTTTCTGTTTCTAAGATTTGCCAACTAAATATCAAATAATTTTAGATGAGGCATCTCAAAAATCATTAATGATAATATGTATTTTTATTTAGTTAATAATTTAGCTAACATTAGTTTACTCTATTCAGCAAGATATAAATGTTTTAAATTTTCTGAATATACTCAACTAGATTTCTGGATAACTAATAAATTTATTTATATATTTAACAATATATTTTCTTCAGAAATTGATCATTATTAGTATAACAAGAACAATTTAAACTTGATTTGCATATTTGGCTTTCCTTGATATTTTAAAACAATAACTATGTCTATTCTTCTGCAATAAATATTTTTACTATATTATTAAACATAGGTATGGACCTAAAGGGGAGTAGTCCACCCCTTATAATCTTCACTATGAATCAGAAAATTATATGTTATATACTATCAAGTTCTTATTTTGTATTTAATATCGGAATATTGCAGTAAAAAAAACAAACAAAATATTGAATTTAAAGTTTTTCATTTTTACTAACAATTATAAGATAAGTAGTATTACAATGGTATTTAGTGTTTTTTGGTCCAAGCAAACAAATTACTTATTTTCTATAACTTGATTTTATTACTTTATAGATAGGATTATTAAGTAAATATAATTATTAATTTAAAAATTAAGAGTTTTTACTCCTTAAGAATTTAATTCTGTTAATCAGTAAATTCTCTACTTCATATTAGAAATGTATATATATAAATTACAATAAATTAATGTAAATACAATACACAGTTCATTCATATTTCAAAGTTTAAAAGAATTATTAGTTAAACTTATTAATTTTAATAGAACAATTACAGGGATAAGGTAACATCTATTAACAAGCAAATTTATATACCAAAACATTTTATGCGTAATACAGTAGCTATAACCTATCAGATAAAAAATAAAAGAAATAAATATTTTTTTAATTTTGCCAAGTTTACACAAATTTCAAAATGCAAATTACCTCATAATATAGCACATTTTTAAAATTCTAATTTAAGATTTTAATAAATAACTATCAAGGTTAATTTTTTTTTATTACTATATTTATGTTTAGAAAACTTTTTTAATAGAACAACAATTTGCTTAAATTCCATCAAATTAATTTAAAATAATCAGTCATTTTAAAATAAATAAGAATAAAACAATATTAGGTTTGACAAATTTCTATCCAAAAAAAAAAAAACAAACATTTTGACATTGAAATAATTATTTACAAATATAACTTATTAATTTAAAATATTTATTATTCTTTGTAAATTTTAATTTTCTATAGCAATTTTATCTTGAACATGATAATGAGAATTTAGTATATTCTTCATAGATATAATTCCAGATGAGTAATATCATTTAAAAATAAGAGTATAATATAGAATCTACAAAAAGAGAAATATAATATAGTAGGGCAATTTTAATAGTCTTCTGTTAGCGTTATTATTTAACTTTCATTGAAATTTGTTTCTATACATCTAAAAATAAATTCAATCAAATTGTAGTTTTTTGTATTTGTGGGTACAATTTTCATTTTCGGACAAATTTTAACTAATATATTAGATTATATAATTTCCTTTAAAAAATATTTGTTTACAATATTTTATAGTCAATACTTTGTAGACAAATTAATAATAACCTGGCAATACTCATTTTTTTTTATAGAAAATTTCCTGTTTTTTGAAATTATTTTTTTTAAAGTTAAAATTAATTATATAATAAAAAATCATTAATGAAAAGTTTGTAATAAATAAGTTATAAAAAAAGGTAGCCTTAATTTTTTTGCTAATAATCTAATAATTTTTGAACCATAATGTAATGAATTTATGAAAACAAATAAAAAAAATCATTTCTTTAGGAAATCACAATATTTTAATATTAGTTAGAACTACATTTTCTGTGAAATAGAATTGCAACCAAGAAATACAAAAAACTACAATTTTTCATATTTTCCTAAATCTTTGAGCATTATGCACACTCTAGTAATAGAAGTTGTATAAAGATCAAATTTTTTAGACATTTTTTAAATCTATAGCAACAAATTTCTGGACAGTTTCTCAAGTTTTGAACAAACATTTTTCTCTTAAATAAATAGTGGCCACTCTAATTTTATGCCTACATTGTAAAAATTAAAAATAGTAAAATTTTCACACAAATGAAGATTTACAATTCTTTTTCAAACATACAAGTACCTATTCATTTCGTGTTACACAATAGTATTGCAAACATCATTTATCTGGTGTTTCAAGGCCTGCATGGTTCATTAAATCAGAAATATTTTTTTCTAGATCATCAATGCGTGATCCCATATCATCTAGTGTGTAACAATTAAGGATAATTAGTTATAAATATATTATTAGTTACATATGTTATATATTAAACATGTTCATGATATATTAATCTGTTATAAAATATTTTTTTAGATATCTATTATATGTTTTAGAGTTGGTGCCATGATAACTGTCATTGGTGCCTTTATTTAATATATTTTTAAACAAAATAGATCTTATGCAAATTTGGCACCCTAAAGCACTTACTCTTCACTAGTATAGCACTGCATAGGTATGTCAATTTTTTTTTCAAATGGTAACATACATATATCACTACTTATAAAATAGAAAATCATATAATTAAAAAATTTCTGGTAGTGTATTAGGACAATAATTATTTTTAAAAAAATTTCAGCAAAATGATAACCATATCAAAATTTATAAGCATTGTTAGTAAGATCTGAAACACTGTGTATATATAATGAAAATGTTATTTTCAAACAACAATTATTTCACAGTAATAATAGTTCATTTGTTTAATTTATATTCAATCATTTTTCATTCATTTTTTTTTCAGGATTTAGTACATTCATAAGAATATATAACTAATTGGGAAGAATTAGGAAGAACATAATTCATAAATAAAATAGGTGATATATAACTTACAATTCTGTACTATTAAATGACAAATTAGTTTTAAGCAAAATGAAAAAAAAAATGGAAAATTTTGAGTTGTGTGATAAATCTTTTTGATAAAATACATATTTTAGCTATTGCTTAATTTATCATCAGGTTTAATAAGCTACTGTTAAAACAAAAATGGTAAAAAAAGGATATTTTTTGATAAAATTTGTTCAGACATATTTTGAAATTTGTCCTTCATTTGCTGTAATACATTTTGAATCTGAAAAATACAGAAAAGAATTGATAAAAACATTAGTGCAATTTAACATTTTTAATATTTAAAAAGTAACATGAAATAATATTTTTACATTGAAAATTTGTACATGGCAAAAAAAAAACTGTAATTTTTTTGTGATTGTGAAAATTGTTTTTTTAGTTAAATAATTTCAATAAAAATTAAAAAAACAAAATATTGATAAAAACATAATTTGTAATCAATAAAAGTTTTTAGTTATATATTTACAAATTTAAAACGCAATATTTTTTTGCTCTTTAGAAAAAAGCCAAATTTGTTGCATAATTCAAATAATTATTCTTTAGACTATATTCAATACTAAATACAGGTACAATAGACATACATTTGGTAATCAATATATAAATTTTTAATTTAATTAGACGGTACTAAATTCAAATTTACGTATTAAAGATTACTCACGTGATCATTCATTTCATCCAACGATTTTTTGTCAATATTATCTTCATTATTCTCCTCAGTTTTTAAGACACTCACGTCTTGATTGTTCTCACTCATAGTAACTTAAAATATTTTTATTAAACAATATTTTGTTTTAACTATACCGGGTAACAAGAGTGAGAGTTTTCAGATACTGAAATGAAAATAAAATAAGAAAAAGTATAATGTGTCAAACAAATCGTTAATAGTTTGACGAACGATTAGTTATCAATTATTTATAATTCTCCCACGTTGAAAAATAGTATTTCATACTGTTATAAAGCGCATAACAAACAAAGATATGAAGATAGAACCGTTGGTACAGGGGTTTCCAAAATTTATGTTCAAAGACTAATTCTATTGAGTAACATAAATTTATGTAAGATTAATAATGAAAGTATATAATTAATAAAATTAATTATGAACTTAAAATTATTACAGTTATATTATATTTATATTATTACAACTATAATTGTAATAATAATTTTTAAACTCGTTAAAAGTGTATATCATGAAATAAGATATTAGATAATATCTTAGTCAATGGTGTATATATACATTTTTTAATAAGTTCAAAATTTATATCAAATTGTAACGGTAGTTTTGAGTGTGATAGACTTAAGGCATCTCAAAGTGGTCCAAAATAGAAATTTTATTTACATAAAATACAAATTTCAAAGTATAATAAAATAATACAAAAATGGTTTGCCTATATAGCATAATATCTATACATAGGGGTTAGATTAAAACAAAATGTTTCATTTAATGTTTTAACGTTACTACATTTTTACGTTTAACGTTAATAAGACTTAAAACGTAATTTACTACCATACACAGTTTTTAATTAATATGGGCAAATAACTACTTTTTTATTACAATTTACTCTTTTTAAATATAACGTTTGAAAATAATTTATTTTTGTCTAAACAAGTATAGTTATACCATGTAAGTTCTATTATGTTTAACGACGTTTTACGTTTTTGATATCACGTATTTTTTGTTTTTGATTACGTTTTGACAAAATTATTTTTTTATGAACGTTATAAGTATAATGTTGTTCATGGCGTTATCTTTTTAATCTTCTTCTGTATATTGATAAGTTAATTGTTTTAATAATATTTAGGTGCTAAGGCCAGGGCAAGCGAAACATTAGTGAAATTAGTATTTAATAATAAGAAAAATATGAAGCAAAAAAAGTGACATGATGAAACGTGTTTTGTGTCTCATTATAGTGGAGCCCTGGTTCCCAGGACCAACTAGCCTCCCTATATCTGACCTTGATGTTATGAATGTTGGAAAGAATAAAAACTAAAATTTTCCCATTGAACTTTATACTTAGATACATTATACTGTAACCTAAGGTTTTAGATTTTAAAATAACTTTAGATCTACTATTTTTAACATCACTTAGACAAAATACGATTAAATTGCTTATAAAGTATATTTTTTTCAATTATACAATTTTTTATTGAAAGATACAATTACATTAATTATCGTTAAAATAAATAAGTAAACACTAGTAAAATTATTACTTTGATATTTTAACTTATCCTAGATTAAAAAAAAATATTCTTATTTAAACATTGAAAAATTGATATTAATTTTGAACCATTATAGCACATTTTCAATCACTGTTTAATTTTCATGAAACCTATAACTGGTTTTTTATTTTTATGTATTTCTGATAAGCTATTCGTTATTAGGTATATTATAGCTAATTTATGACCGTTAAAACCCAAACATTAAGAAATAAATAGATATATGAAAGTATGTAGAACTAATATAAGAATCATAAATTAGTAAATGGGATAATTCGGTCGACTGTCTGGCATTCTGTTTAACAATGATCCTACACTAACATTATTGTAATTACAATTGATCAAAATTTGAAAAATTATTCTATTTTATTATTATTTTTATATTACACTCAATAAATTAGCAATGGTTAGAACAAAGCAATCTATGAACTACGTTGGTAAGTTCAAAATTGTTTTATATAATTATATAGCTTTGTATTATTAAGTTAAAAAAAATTATGCAAATTTTAAATGGTATTAAATTGGAACTAGTTAGAGAGACAATTTTTGTAAATGAGACGAAATGTTCAACATTAACAAAAATTTCTTTTAAAAAACTGCTCGCGGTCATCAAAAATTTAATTGATCAATATTTTTTAAATATTCGGCGATGAAAAATATTATAAAATTATGCCTGTCGATTTTTATTTTATAAGTCTTTAAGCTTTTTTAAAAAATGAACATATTTTTGAATGATTGATATTTAAGGTATATGAATAAATAACAGGCACATTTAGAGATCCTTTATTTTCATACAAGCTTATCGTTTTAATATAGAAATTAATTAGAGTTTATGTGAAGCTAAAAAGTTAACAATTATCAAATTTATTTTTCAAGAGATGTTTTTGACTTCACATTTCAATCGAAATAATTGATTAATGAGTAACTATAAATTTATTTTAATGACAAATTCTGAATTTATTCGATAGATATTTATTTAATCAACACATAATATTGTAATCAGCATTTACATACAAAATTAATACATTTTTAATATATATAGGACTTGAAAATGAAGTAACATGAAATGTTGACAGTTTTTCTAATATCTAGTAAATTAGTTCATCTATATACAATTTGTTAAGGTTTTGAAGGTGGTTCTCATAATATTTAAAAATATTATAAGAAAATATAAATTTTATTTTCGAAAAACTAAAATTATTTTAGTTCCTAGCTCTAATTAATATGACACTTTGTTTTTGTTTTGCCTACACCATGGATATTAAAAAAGTATGGTTTTGTATAAATGTTTGATTAAAAAAGTTTTTAGCTTAAACTTTTTGTTATTATAGTTGACTCTAGCTTACCAACAAAAATTTAGTTCAATAACATAAAATGTAAAACTATTTGTGTTACAATAACATAAAAAATAAAAATCATGGGATAAAATTGTTTTATTATGTAATAATGGATTTTTATTCAGATGTTGTCATTTGTAATGTTAATGCGTAATGACACATTGAAAAATGGTGACATTGTTTCAATATTTTTTATATAATAGCAAAGTACGTTTTTTTATTATCTTTTAGGCATTTAATATTCATAAAAATATATTTGATAACTTTTTTATTTTACACAAACAGCAATTCCGTTAATTAAATTTTATTGACTTAAAAATCCTCATAAAATTGTTAATTCAAAACTCTGTTTATATTAAAAAAATTTCGGATATCCAATTTTCACCGCCGGCATCCAAAAGTTGCGTCTGAGTATCATAGGTAATAATGAGTTGATAATAATTAGCAGTCGAGTTCTTTAGTTTTTTTCATATTGGGGTTACACGTAGAAAAATGTTTAATATCCTCTAAAAATTGTATTTTACCATGACAATTAGAGGGTTGAATTCTTATCTATGTGCACGCTGCTGATAAATAATATTTCATAGGAGGTTTATATGATAAAATGGTGGGTAGAAACGTATGTTTCGATGCACGGATTCCCGGGTTAGATCTCCAGGGAGCCTATTTTTCTTATGATTTATCTCAATGTTGGTATCTAGTTTTTGGTGCAAGCCGGTCATAATACCCGTCCTGTCCATCATTGGCCTAGTTAAGAACCATTATTGACTCCCTTACATGTGATAAAGGGCCTCTGTAGAATGTTAATTTTGGAAAATATAAACTTATAAAACTAATCATTTTTCATTTTAGGAGGTTTATATATAGGTGTTAAGTAAGTGAAACAGGTTTTCATTGTTCTTATTTTTTTTTTAATTTACCGGTTTCCTTATTTACTGAACACTTTGTATGTTAAAATGGTTATAATAAAAAGTTATAGTGGTTATAGTAAAAATATTTTATATAATAAAAATCCATAAGAATCAGAATTATTTAAAAATACTCAAGTTCTAGAAGAGAGAAAAATTGATTTCATATATTCGAATATTCCTAGGGGTAATCCGAATAAAATGTACGAGTGTATTCGATCATCACAATCGACAATTACTCGATACTAACGAGTAAAAATGTTTTGATTTTGTGAGTGTCTCCATCTAATAATTCTGTTATTTGTTTGCAGTTTCCGTTGGGAAATCGTCAAAATCGTCATCTGGAAAATCGAGTAGCTCCGGTGGATCGTCTTCGTCGGCTTCACATTCCTCAAGCAATTCATATGATCACTCATCAACGCCCAGTAAAGGAAGTAAGTACACTATAATAGTGCTATACTTATGAAGTATCATTAAACACGGTTAATATAACGAATTAATACTGGTTATTTTTTCTATCAAATTATCTTAATCAACTTATTTTATTAATGTGGAGATTTTATTTTTTTCCATAGAAAAAGTTAGTATTGGAAAGTAAAATGTAATGATATAATTCAACTTAAAATTTAAAATGTTTATAATTTTGGTTAAGTATATTGGATTAGATAATTTGAAGCTTCATTATTCATTTTATAAAATAATATAAATATAATCAATTCCCTACAGAAAGATACTACTAGACTTAAAAATAAAGACAATTTTTTCAGCTAAAATAATAACCAAAAATTGGAGAAATCATACAAAATATTTTACTTTGTCGACTTCATTACCTGTTTGCAAGAAGGTTTAACTTTGATTATTTATTTAGCCGTGAGAATCGTCGTGTTTTAAATAATAGAAATTATAAAGACTCCACTTTGAATAAATCCTTTAGTGTTATTATTGCTCAACAATAAAGCACATTTTTGACGATCGTTAAAATATCATTAGCTGTATTAAATACTAAAAAGATTTATTATTTAAATAAGTCATTTATAAAAATACTACTTTTATAAATAAACATTTCTTTTGTATTATCTCATTGTCCTTTTTATGGAGAAAAACAAAGTTTATCAACAATGATTATTTTGATAAGGCGTGTTTTTATTAAACTGTAATTTTATACTATTTGATTAAATTTTTACAATGGTTATTACTAATTATTACATTTTTACAAATTTTTTTTTAATTAATGTGTCTCAATTAAAATAGAAAGGTTTCATAAGCTTGTAAGGTTTATTTGATGAATATAAAACGAAAAAATGTATTATTGTTTTTATGAAATAAATCCTAACTTTATTTGTCCTGTAGAAAAATATTCAGGAGGAAATCCAGTGTGTCCTAGGGAAACGCCAGCTTGGCAAAAGGAGATAACGTGTTTTTTTATGTCTAACAATCAAAATTCGACCAATGGTCTGTGTAAAGACGAAGAAAAATCAGAACACAATTCTTATGAACTGTCAGCTGGTTCTTCAGGATCAAGAGAGACAATACATTGACAGATGGGTTTATTATTTCAGCAGTGTAAACCGATATAATTATTTTTATATTTAACAAATAATGTATATATCGAAATTTATGTTTAATTATTTTCATTAGAATTATATAATTGTTGACTAGGCGGTAAAATTATTTCTATTCACAGTCTTGTGACATTTAAGATTTTATATTTATAAGTTATTATTTTAAATAAAAACTTTTTACGACTGAAACTGACAACAACTCTTATATTGAGAAAGGAGACGTTCTTGTTATAAAACTTCAGTTTAATATTTAAAATTTTCTTTGTTGTTTTTGAAGACCGCTCTATCAATAGAGAATAAAAGAAAGTTGTACTTTTTTTTTGAGTAAAAGAAGATTTTATTTAAATATAATATTCTTTTTTAATAAAAGTCATCAATATTTATTTGCCTACTAAATTTTATAAAAATAATCAATTAAATATGAGATTCAATTCTATGGGACGTTGACAAACGGGCGAACTGACAAAAACTTTTAGGTTTTCGGAATACTCAAAATTTTAAATATGATAAAACAAATTCGTCATTTATTTAAATACATTTTTTTAAAGTTATATATTTTTATAATAATGAAATTTTATTATTTTTAAAATTTTTTATTTAATTAATTTTAATATTCAAGTTTGTCAGTTTAATTTGAAAGTTATTAGTGATAGTTTAGTAATCAATAAAAACTCTCGGACTACTAATATTTAAAGAACTACCATTGTTGATCAAATAAGTATTCAACAAAAGGAATTGAAGAAAAAAGTGAAGGTAAAAAACAAATATAAAAGTTTGGTATTTTTAAACAGTTTTATTTTTTATTTACTCTCGTATGTAATGATTTCACTATCAAGCTTACATGTCTATCAAATATTTAAATAGTAACTACAGGTGTATAATTTTAAACCTTATGACTATGAAGTTTTATTAATACAAAACAATAATAAGGGAAAAAATTAAATTGTTTAATAAACGCCTAGGTTTACATTTGGAAAATAAATCACTGGTGCGGCAAACGATTATACCAATCGAAAACAGCTTGCCTTAGGTAAATATAAACTTTATAATTTATAAATTTATGAATTAATAATAAAAATAAAGATCATAAATGTAAACACTACATTATGGAAATGACTACCACTAATTATAACTTTTTATATAATATTACAATAAAACAATAATTTTTTTTTTTTTTTGACAAACCACATATTTGGGTACTAATTGGCTTAACAGACTATTTAAGGTAAAACAAGATTGACAACAAATCATTTCATACACGCGCGCCAATTTTACAAGTTCAACAAATTATAAATTTCATTAAAGTTTTATAAAAAAAACTTAAGTATATTATAATTACTTTAAATATGCTGCCCGAGGCGACGCTGTAGAAACTGCTAACTTAAAACTAATGAAAAAACATAACTACCATCAACAATAAGTTACTAACAAAAAAAAAACAATCATACATAATAAATATGTAGTTAAAAAAGAGTGCTAATTACAACAATGAAATCATTTCAATATAGTCGATAAATTTTATGTTCAATATCAAACAGTGAAAAATAGACAGATGAATTTGCATTTTTAATATATTTTATAATAAATAGTTAAACTATTGTGTTATGAGTTTTACGTACAGCATAAAAAAGCACATCATTTTCGACCATTAGGTAAACTAGACAAATTGTTTTACGCAAATAGACCATATATAGTACACGTGTGATATATAATAATTTACCGATAAAAAAACCCTGAATGTTATGTTAAAAGTTTTCCTTCTTCTAAATAAAAGTTTTGCCGTCGGATTTACTGTAAAAATATACATGACACACACAGTTTAACGTTTCAGCGGTAAAAACGTTAACAAACTTGACAGTAAATTTCACAATAGAATAATTTTTCTTAACATATAGAAACACAAGTTCGGGAGAGCTTAATAGTTTGATAATAATTGTCATAGTATTTTTCATATCAATTATACACTATCCAACGAATAAAGTAATTGGAGAAATATTACAACATTTATCGCAATGAAGATTAACACACTTTTCTTTTTTATCACAATTAAAAAAAAACTGAACACTCTTATGAATATATATATGAGTGAACACAATATGATTATACCGGTAAATTCGTTCAATTTCAGCAAAAAATAGATATAATTGAAATTAGTAATTCTAGTTTTTTTTAATTTTAATACAAATATTTAAATTATTATAATTCATTTATATCATATATATTGATAATATTTTTCAAGGTTTAAGGCAACATAATAGATAAGTTATGACCAAAAACAGTCCAAATAAAATTAATGTTGTAATAAGTATTCAAAAAATAATTGTGTGATCCGTCAAAAACGTGCATAAGAATTTTTTTTATATAAATGATGTTATGTAAAATTATAAAAATAGATTGTACTACGACGAACGAATTTTCCGGTGTATAGTTTTAAACGGTATTCAATTTAAATAATTATATGTGTTTAACTGTAACTGACAGTTTTGAGGAATGACTATGATTTGCTGTCATTTGGTTCTTTCCAGTCAACGTTGGCCCATACTGGAAGTGTTGTCTCGTAACTCCATCCTGGCCCCTAGTGGTAAAAAAAAATATATTGTGAGTCAGAGTGATATAATTTTATTGAAAATGTGTGAAAGTAGACAAAAATAAAACATTTAGTTGGTGTAAAAATTTAATATATTTAAATGTTTTACAATAAAAAAATTTATTGTAAAATTTAAAATTAGAATGTTCAACTCATAGTACTTTAAAATCTAATTTTTAAAAAGATACTAGTTATTAAAATTAGCTAGTTTTATACTAACAAAGGAAATCAGAACGATGTCAGATGTTGAATGGATCTAAATAGTTCTATTTCTATATCAAAATACATTTTCTAAGATAAGCAAAACATTTTTGTATAAATGAAAGAAATCAGATTCACAGGCGTTGTGATCTAAACATCGAAATGGAACCAGTTATTTAAAAATAAATACAATCGAAAAAGTTTTTGAATTTGATTATATTTTAATGTTTCAACCTGTAATAAGTTTAAAAGAGGGGCAGCTTCTTGGAAAAATATTTGAAAGAATAAACTGTTATGTATAATGATAATATTAATTTAAGTATCTGAACAAGCATTAAATTTGGAAGAACTTTTTAATATAATGAGAAAAAAAGACCAACTTTTTAAGGGTTCTTACTAAAAACAAATATTTGTTGTCAGTATCATAATTCTTAATTGTAATGCTGATGTATCAAATTTTAAAAGATTGATCTATCCCTTGAAGGTGTTTTATTTTTTAAACGGACCGAATTTACTATGATTCATTTGTAATACAATGTGAAATTTTTGTGATAGCGTTAATTGTTTTGTGTACCCAAAAGTTAAATATTTTAAATTTGTTATTAATGTATTTTTAAGCTTTTCATTTTATTAACTAGTGATAATATCAGAAAAAATTATAAATATGTTTACGAATTTTAATTTTATGCGTAGAAAGTCTACTTTTGGTTTGTAAAACAAATACTTGTATTACAGAAAGAACTCGGATATGAATTGAAGAAAAAATTATCGTTGTGCAATAAAGACATGGTAGAAGACCAGTGGAAGTCTAAATACAGACTATTGATATTTGAATGAAAACGTGCGCTGTGGTTGTTGCAAAGAGTTAACAAGTGGAATAACAAAACATTAAAATATCGAATATCTTGCCACGTGCTTAGTAGGGCTTAAAACAAAAAATACTCACTATAACGATAGTTAAAGAACACTATAATGTCGCATCTACGTTTTCGAGAGTTCCCTCTAGTTTTTTTTAGGTGAATTATTGATGAAAAATTTATTGTTGGTTATAAAATTATGAATTTTGTATCTTAAAAAATTTAATGAAGTATGGTTTTCCAAGTGTTGTTATAGAAATTTATTGTTTTTAACAAGATAGCGATGAATAAATTAATTGAAAAATTAACAAATTAATCATTTAATTCTAAATAACTTACTAATACAATAAAAAATGCTGGTTAAAAATTCTAGAAGATTTTAATAAGCTACTTGATCACCATGATAATATTTTTATTTAAATATTGAAGTAACATTTTAACACTATACATTTTTTCTGTTAATTTTATAAATAAAAAAATTCGACTAACATTATATGTAAATATTACTAACAACTATTTAATTCATTTAAGTTTAGTAGATATCGATTATTATAATTACATCGTGCTTGTTTTTACTATATTATTATTCAATTTCTCGCATAAATATTCAAGAATCATTATGATAATGATACTGAATTTGAAACGAACAAAATCAAAGAACTGTATTTACTTACACTGTATTTCCAAGCGTGCAAATACATCACGAGGTCTTTTGGCTTTGGATCTCTGAACTTAACACGACACTCGTAGCAGTGAGGATCGTACGTGATCTTCTCAGAATCGTATTCTTTGTCTAGCACATCTTGTTCTGTCTGAGTCGATGCGTTCAGTCCTGAATCTAGTCTGTGTTGTGTAATTGCGGTTTTCGAGTCTACAATTGGTAGTATTGTTTTGCCTTCCCGAGACTGATGTTGTTCACTACTCGTAGTTGACTCTTGAAGTTTATTCAAATCTAGATAAAAATATAACATGCTCGTGTTGAGGCTAATGGTAAACAAATTCAAAAGAGATAGTGTTTAAAAAGGGGTATAGAAAAATTGGGGTTAAAAAGACTATTTTAGGTGAAATAGTTATTTGTAAGATACAACTAAAAATTTTAGAATGTTTTCTTGGTTTATTTTCATAAGTACCAAATATCCATTTTGTTACACGTGTATAAGAAAATAATTTCCGTCATAATTTGTGGGTCAAAGTATTACTAGTCAATTTTATAAGAAAGTTTTGCTGTAAGCATTCCAAAAATGTCGTTTTGTAAGTTAATATTTATTTTTTCTCTCTTTAAAAATCGCTTAAATTGAAATATCAGTGTTTTTGGAAAATAACTACAGATTTAATTAAAAAATTAAATGTTGATCATTGTTGACATCAAAAAATATATTATGAATTAAAATCATAGAATATAATTCATATTCTAGAGCCACAACAATAAGTTATGGTTCCTTTGAATTCAAAATTTAACATTTATTTTGTAATTGTTCATTTGCTGATTTATATAATCGAAACCACAATAATTACGATAGATCGATGCGTAATTTGTGTCATAAATAGTGTTTAAAATTTTGATTGCTACGGAAATTATTTACTTAAAACTTTACTATTATAATACAAATCTCGCCATTCGAATTCACTCTTTGAGAACCTTTACTGTAAATATTTGTTCAAGCTTCTCAACCGGAGTTGTCTGACGATAAATCCATCGAGTTACAACGCGTTTCGAATTTAATAGTTAATCTGTCTCTTGAAATCCAATTTTTTTGCATCTAAAAACTGCTTGTATCGAAATTCTTTTCCCGTTGATTCTGTAGAGCGAGTCAGCTGCAATAACGACATTAAAGCGGTCGCTATTGGGTAATAATGTTCCGGCGGGCAATAAAACTACGCAGTATTAAGTTCTAATACACTTTAAGATACATATCATTTAGAACGCGAACGACTTAATCAACGCTCTGGAGTTAGTATATTGCCTATCGAGAGCGCCGACTTGCGTTTGACCGATAACTGATTTATTATTCTATTTCTCTAAGTGTTTTAAGATGAAACGTGATATTAAATTGCTCTCGTTTTGTAAGTACCGTGTAAGTAAGGGCGGTGTGTATTGATCAACTTTTAGAACTGCTTGCAAAGTGTGCCTAATGGTTACGTGTCGTATTAAGCCATGTGAGTATTTATAAATAATTAATGTCGCACCAAGTTGAAATGTTCGAAAATAAAAAAAAAATAAGTCGTACAATAAAAGTAATAATATCAGTGATTTAAATTTTATTGAATATGAGATAAGTAGTACACCGTTTAAACTTGTTTTAAGTAAAAATTACATTATTAAATTAAATAAGTATTGTTATTTTAATTAAAATTTAATTATTTTTTTGCAGTAAATTCACTAACTATTTTTTCTTTAAACATTCTTAATTTTTTCTAACACTGTGTAGTCTTAAATTAGCAGCGTAATGTCCAACATCAAGGTACAGTATACCATTCACAAATTTTTCTTACATGAGTTCCTGAAGTAATTATTTATAGATGTTAATTGCAGTTTAAAAAATAAAAATATTATACTAGTACCAAGTAATCACGTGGAGTAACATGAGTATCAATTTACAAGTAATACTTGATATGTTTGTTGATGTCGCGATTTGTTGTCAGATAAATTCTTATTTAAAAATAAAAAAACCCTTTGAGTATAAAGTCAAAAAACGCAGTTTTACATTTAGTTTACAGTAACTTAAAAACCTCTGATTTTATGTTTTCTTATGTACTTTTATATTTTTTTAAAATTATTTTGCATTTATGATATATGAACACCTAATATTCAAATTAAGATAACACCTAAATTATGAATTTTTTTGAGGTCCGACATTACTTTAATTTAATTAATATAATAATAATTTTTGCAAATTTTAGCTCATAGTTTGAATTTGAATATTTTTTTTTTTGAGAAAATCATTTAACTTGAAAAATAATAAACATGTTGGAAAAAAATGTATGAAATTATATTTTCTACAAAATGCCATGCCTTCACATAAAATTATACCTGATTTATAACATCAAAAATAGACAATTTTTGTCAGAAAATTTATGTTATAAAACTTTACAATTAACTATGAAATATAGATTAAAACACTAATACAATGAGAGAACAATCCTTGTATAATTTTTTCATTTAATTATTAAAACAGAACAGCCGACGGGCCAATAATTATTATTATATGTAATATGTTGGATTTTACAAATAAAAATTGAAATTGAATGGCTAGTATTTTAACATGTCATTCTTATTAAAAATATAAAAATATTTGTACATAAACGTGTTAAAAATTGACTACTTCTATTATATTGATATAATACAAATACTTCCAAAAGTACAGACCTATAATTTTTAGATGTTTGATTGATTAGTTGAATTTTAAATAATCAATAAATAATAATCGAAATTTTATATTAATGTTTAATAATTTATTATAATAAGTCAGTCATTTGTCTTAAAATAAAAGAAAAAGGTCAAATTCAAAATATGAGATCGGTTTGTCACGTGATAATAATTTCAGATTGGTTTCAAATTTTGCAGATATGATAATTATACCAATTAATCATTTAGGCTGGCGACTGAATGATCTACTGCGCCACACCTCTCCTCCTCATAATTATTTTTGTATATATGAAAAAACGAATAATATAAGTTAATGACTATAATGATTAATTCAACTACATTTATAATATGTGATTATTTTTATTCCTATGTAAATTAATAGTTGAAAAGTTGGTATGATAATTATTGCATATAAAACAAAACACGGTTTACCGTTATCTTTTCACTCAATAAATTGATTTAAATTTAAAGTAATTTTATTTCACGTAACGCTTTATATTCTCCAAGTCATAAATTACCTTTGTATTGTGTAGTTTTCTTTTCATCTGATTCTGTAGATGTGGCAGGTGCACAGGACTCGACGTTTTTCATTAACGGTAACATAGTCAAGTCCGAATCACCATCCATACCCAGCCAGTTTTCAGCATTGTGAATGTTTATCAAATCATGAATCAGTTGTTCGTCAGTTTTGCCAATGATACCACCCCGACCTTTTTCTGGCCCAAACACTACGTGGTTGTACAAGGGATCATTTTTTACGGGAAAGCCTAATAAAATTTGCAAAGGTTCTTAAACTATTTTTGTAGCTATTATTAAGTACTCTTGCTACTAATAAAAGTAATTAATGACATCGTTTGAGATGTAGTATATTTATTACTTTTATATGGTGTATACCTAAGTACTGCAGGTGAACTCTAATTTGGTGCATGCGACCGGAATGTGGAAAACATAACACTACACTCATGTTAGTTTCCTCATTATAGCCAACCAATTGGAATGTCGTTGAACAGCTCTTGCCTTTTTTTGATACTTTACACACTCCTATCTTATAGCTGACAACTTCGATAGGCTGATTGCATTCAACAGTTTGTCTATAAGTAAAAAACACTCTTTGAAATCTGGTTTGATAAACTCAATTAAAAGGAATATTGTCGATATAATTGATAAGGTTCAGTTAAATTTTTAAAGAATGCATAAAAAATTATACTTACTCAGGAAACTTGCCTTCAACCCGACATACATATTGTTTGTTTACTTGACGATTGCGGATTTGTGATTCCATTATTCGAGCGTACCGAGGAGTCCTGCCAAACATTAAAAGACCACTGGTAAGTCTGTCTAAACGATGTATAGTTCTCAAATTCTTCAAGTTATGTTCTTTAGCTAGCACAAACACCACTGTGTTATGACGATAACGACCACAAGGATGAACCTATTGAAAAGTATAATATTACTATGGATTTGTATTGAACAATAAAAAAAAACATATTTTAGCATTAAGTTTAACTATAGTTTACGAAATTTAAACGAATGTTTTATAAAACATTCTATTTTTTAGCTTGAGATTTATTTCCTCCCAGTGAATACCTTTTCCAATTAAAAAATTTGTAAAAAATGTTCGGACTTAATTATTATAAAAATTAACATTTATGAATGACTATACTATAAAGCAGATGATACAATGAAGTAAATTAAGAATTAAATAATATTTTCATTTTTTAGATTGATTAATTAAAAAGTAAATAAAAAATCTTTTATTTTTATATCTGATAATTCCAAATTTCAAATAATTGTCGCCATACTGAAGATAGTAGAGTATCAATAATCTTTGCATAAGGACGTCCCCTTGTCCTCACTTTTTATTGTGAAAATTTTCTGCCTTTAGGTAAGTATTCCTTTTTAAAATGTAGCTCTGTGTAAATCACAGTAAGTTTGATAAAATCATTAAAAATAAAAGTATTGTTTACCTTTATTATTATTTATATTACAATACATTTCAAATTACATTATTATTCGATAGTATGAATAATAATAATATCCAATACTTTAAAGGTAAATTCTCAACCGTTAACTGATAAAAGGTCGTTATAATCTGACACGTGTCTGGAATTGTTTATACGATTAAATAACCTTTAAGTTCACTAAAATTTTGAAACTAGCGAAGGTTGTTTCAATCAAGTAAATTTAAACAACGATTAAATCCTTAATACCACGTCTAGGAACAATTATTGTGTTAATTGCGATTGTTTCGTAGATAATTAGGTTTCAGATTACTACCGGTGTTTTTCAACGTAAATTTAAAACAATAACATATACATTTTAATCAAGCAGTATGTTCATTTGAACAATAATTTATTTGTACTTTAATGAATTATATTCTGTTCAATTGTAATCATGTATCATGATAAAATTGTGATTAATTTACTTGTTTTTTATGAAAAAATGATGCTATTGATTGTAAAATAAGTTAGTGAAAATAATAAATATGATAGATGCGAATTTTGACAACGTAAACATAAATATTTAATTACCTGAAGTGTTAAAATTTTGTGGCACTTACCGGAATGCTTGCAGGTTTGTTAACAACTACAATGTCCTCATCCATATGTACGATGGTAATAGGTTCGTTAGTCACGGGAACTTCGTGTCTGTAACGTGTTCAGGAATTAATGTCAAAAGATTGGTGTACAAACTAATAATTTATACTCTGGTCTTTATCAAAAAATCAACCAATATTAAAAAAATATATTAATTAAGCAAAATTAAAAACTTGTTTGGATAAATTTAAAACAAAAGTAAATTATGTATGTCTGTTAATTTAAAAATACATACTGTTTAACGTGCTGCTCATTCTCACAACGTGTAATTAAAGTTAAATATTTCATATTTTCTAATGCAACTTATTTTATTAGATATTTAATGTTATTAATTATAATTAACATAATATTATTTAAAAAATTCAAACATATTCTTATATTGACACACTAAATGTTATAGTTATAATGTTGTATATTTTAGTTTTTGGACGTATATAATAGTACATTGATAATTTAAAATGAATACTTAATACACAATGCGAAAAATTGATTAGAAAACTAGCTTTTATTTAAAAAAAAATATTCATATAAGTAATTTTCCAAATTTAAATTTACACTATTTTATAACTCAAATAAAGAAATCTGTAGTAACATATTTAAGCATGCAAATTATGAGTTTGGTATCACATACTAGAACTTGTTTTCTAAAGCACTATGCGTAAATTTAATCTTTGATAGTTATGTTTTATTTAATAGTCATTTATAATGATTTCAATGATATTTGTGTACAATCTATCTAGACATATGAGTGTCTTTGAACTAAAAACGAATTATGTTTTTAAAATTAGTTATTTAGCTTATCTGTTATCGAATAAGTTATTCTAACAATTAATAGTGTAAGCAAATAATGTATGGAAAATTAAAAAACTAATTGACATTAATAAAATTATTATAAGGAGTAAAATATTTCTTTAAATGGAAGAAGAAAACTTGGATTAAAAGTCTTGTAAAATAAAGAATACAAGTCTTTAAATAAGCATGAAGTACTAAAAAAATCCACGACTTACCTGTGTACAACATTAGCCAATAAATCGTTGTGTTTTAGCTTATACGTAGTATCCACTTTTTGATAGTTCACTGTCAAGGATCCAGATTTAATGCAACGTTCCTAAATTAGGTAAGAAACCATAAGATTAAAGATAAATGTTTCGATAATTAAAATGTAAATTACATATTCTTCTGCGGGATGTGCTCTGAATTCTCTAGCAAATACGTCTAGTATGTTTTGATTGACCCACCGACCTTTGGTAAATGTAGTGAACGTGAAGTAGTACGGGTATACTTTTCGTAGTCCTGTAAATAGTAACAAGATTTAACTTATATTTCGGGTCAAATCTTCTCTTTTGAATGTTACAACTGTTGTTAAGTTCACTCTTACCGTTTTCAATATAGTACGAAGTTTCATTGTATCTATCATCAGTGAATCCAGGTCGTTTTGCCTTCAATGCTTTAGTCTCCAATTTGGCCTATGTCATACAGATGAAATTAAAATATAAAATTCTGTTTAAGAAGAAATTGAAATGAATTGATTTTTTTCAGCTAAAAGACTTAATATTGTGAAATGGATAATTAAAGAAAAGAAAGAATAAAAATAATAGTACAAAATTTATGAATAATAATAAAAAACAGTTAAGGAGTTATTATTCATCATTTGTTATACAAAGGAAAAATCATAAATAAAAAAGTTTTAACTAGTAAAAATGTATGCATTTATATTTGTTATATTTTTACCTGTTATAAAAAATATAAGAAACACAAATGCAGAAAAGAAGTATTATTTCTTCCTTAAACAGTTTTGTTTAATAAGATGTTATAAATGTTGTCAACACATTTCATGCTAATGTTTTATTTAATAATTATATACATTTGCAAATTATAAACGGCAAGAAAAAAAGAAATTTACAAAAAATAAGCAAATACTTCAAAGTTTTACATTGAAATACAATGTAAAGTGTATAAATGTACAGTGCATTGAAATACACGGTTGTTATTTAAATAATTTCTTGCTATTAAGTAATTCATATATGAAGTTCTAGTCGTTCGACATCAGTCAAGGAAACTACATTTAAATATTTTAGAATGTTTAGAAAACAAAATTTAAAGTAAAAATAAAATCATATATCATTCAGTTCAATCTTATTGAATTGTTATATTCCCTAGAGTGTTCCGGCAGGTTTGTTTATACTTAACAAGTTCGTTTAGTTGTCATAAAAAAGAATTGGCAAAATAAAAAGTAAAGTGTTAAAATTTGATATATTCTAAAGTAAAAAAATATTTTTTATTATTGTTAAGTTTGCCATTTTATTGAGTTAACACATGATAACACATGCTTTGTATTAACCTACCCATAGAGTAGCACGTAGCACGTTAAAAGTTCACTTTAATAACAATTTAGTATTTTATTACTATTCGTTGTATAAACTTATACCCATAAATTTAAGTATTCAAAGTGAACGAACAGAATAATTTTATCATTTTTATCTTTACAAGAGGTTGAAATGATGATGTTAAAATTTTGTTTCATATTATCATAACTTTTACGTTTGTCAATTTTATCAAATACGATAAAAAACAACGAAATTATTCATATTAGAATTTTTCCCCCAGAAACCCAAAACATATAAAAATCAGGTTGCAGTTACTTCTCATTTTCTTGAAATCTTTTGGAGTATTTGAAATTTAGTCTTTTGCTTTTCATCATTGTTATATTCTAAGGGATCGGAGATAATATTACTATGTATGTGTTAACAAAAAGGATTGAGGGTTCAAAACACATCACACGAAAAACAAACATTGCTGAGTTTGAAATATAATACCAACGCTGCTCGTGTGTCATAATACAACAATATATATTATGTATTTTTCGCACGACACACCTGAGACGCAACTGCCGTTGTTGAATAGCTAATCTGATTTATAGACACTTTGTTGCGACTTATAATCATCGCTGTCGAGATACCACATAACTCTCTAAAACGTTCAAAAAGTAACAATCCACATAACAACGGATCGGTATAATGTTTTTAGTTCTATTTTAAATGTTGAAACTTGATGCTCGTGAACTTTATAATTGTTTAGTCATTAATTTTTGAACTTTTTAATCTAATCAGCAATAACTGTGGTGTTTTATTGTACATCTGTGATGCTGTAGATTAGTAAACAACATTTGTTCTCGACTAAAGTCGTGTACAAAGTTTACTTAAAATGATGCTGTTTAGGACTATTACGCTTGGAGGGGAACTAATTAACGGAATAAAACTCATTTGGTTTATACAATGATAAAAATACAGTAATTTGTTATGCTCTCTTGGTCTAATGAGTAATATTATTAGTGTGATTATTCCTTTAATTCTATTTAGAAATCTTAAAACTTGATAAAATTAAAAACAACTATAACGCTGAACTTTTGTTGTAAAATAAAAAAGATCGTTTTGCTGAGATAAATTAAAATTTACGAGTTATTACAGTTCCATCTAATGATGGAAACATTTTCGAGTAAAACTATAATTTGTACAAACCATTTACTGAAAAGAATATTTTATTTCATTTTAAAAACATTTTATTAGTAATTGAAATTATTATAAAAATTTATAGTTGAAGGAATTTGTTGTAATTTTATTTTACTAACAATTTACTTATAATAATTTTTTATAAAGTGTATTCACGTTGTGTTATTTACCAATTAAATGATAAATTTGAAGTAAAATTAACAATTGAATCCTTTTTAAACTCAAAAAGTTAATAGAGAAAATAATTATATTTTATAAATTTAAAAAATAAATGTTAACAATAAATTTTATATTAATAGTGAGGTGTACTTAAACTCAAAAAAAAAAAAAATAAGATTTAAGTATTCAAAAGTTTGTTTCGTGAAGTAATTTATAAGAGTATTCTAAAACGATTGAGCAATATTTCAACGATATTGATTGAATAATAGTAAAACAAACAGCAATAGTTTTCTACTGTATTTAATGTTATTTCGAACATTTCCGGGACAAATTGGTCAACCACAGGCATTTGGCTATAACTTTAGTATTGTAAATACGCTGTTAATATAAATGTAATTACTCTCCTGTCTTTATTCTACTAGTGTAAGTGAAATTTTGAATTTGAGGAATATAAATATACCAACAAACTGGGAATCTAAATCCAGATGAGATCTTTCTCACTAAGCTACCCTGCGGTCATAGTTTGTACCCACTCCCGAGTCTCTTAAGTGATAACATGTGAAAGTAAGCAATATTAATAATGATAACTCAAATAATGTAATTACTCATGTGAAATGTTATTCGTAGGTTAAATAACAAAAAAAAAAAGTAATAATAATAAATTGCTTTCTCTGAATGACAAGTGAGAATAGATAAATCACAGATAATTCACATATAGTAAGTTATTTTATAATTTTATCATTAGAAAAAAAAAAAACATGCGAATATGATAACCTACACAGAAAAAATATTTTTAATCAGATTTTTGTGTGAGGATTCAAAGTAATATAACCTATTGAAACATTAATTTTTTTATTATTTTGTGTCAAAATAAGTTTAGTAAAAGCATGATTTTTTAAAAGTATCTTTCTGATGCTTGTAAGTAACATGTATTAAAAAAATAATTGAAGTAGCATATGTGTTTAGTTTTTTCCATACTGGCTTAAGTACTTTTGTAGTTTTCAGTAGAATTCTAGCACTTTAATTATAATAAATGAATATCCATCGCTTTTATGTATAATGAAAAGACAGTAAAGTTTTTAATTGCGTTTCAATGAAAAAAAAACAAACCTTTAATTATACAAAGAAAAACTGTTTAATTTTATTCTATAAAAGCAAATGAATTTTAAAATTAAAAGACGTTGGATAAAAATAATAGAACTAATCGTATTACTCTAAAATAGAAGTATTGTCTCTTTTAAGATATTTGTTTTTTTTTTAATACTTTTATTATGAACACAGCAATAAAATAACATTTTTATGCCAGTTATTTTGATTTTAGATTGCACCAATTGTCTTCTAAATATTTTAAGATATATTAAATAGACAATTTTATTTTTAATGAAAACTTTTTACATTATAATAACTCATACTTAATTTTGCTGAAAATTGTAGAATTTCAGATTATTCCTATTCAATTTACTAACATACTTTTTTTATGTAATAATGAACAATGCATATACATATTATCATGAATTATAATTTATGTTAATAATAAAGTAATTTAACAATTATTTATTTAAAAAAATTCTCGAGTCATTATGGTTTTACATTTTACATGTTTATTATTTGTAGTGTAAAATAATGTCTAAAATTGGATATAATTACTTTTTTTAAATCTTTACTAGTGTCATTTCGGTCATCCACTAGATATTTTCGTTTGTTTGATAAGGATTCTTCTTCAGCCTATAAACATAAAAAAATATTATAAATTATTTGTATTTAAACTTAAGTTCTAATAGTAATTAAAAGGCTTTAGTAATTAAAAGCACAATTTAAAGTAGCAATTCTATGTATTTGAAAACATAATATATTAATACAAGTACAGAAAACATAATCTATACGTGTATAACAAACAGTCATAGCTTTGTTGCAATTTCAATACATAGTATTTTCAATGTACACATGGATCAATGGAATTAGCATAATACGTGTATTTGTAGTCAATAAAATACAATATAGAGTAGATACTTAAAATTTGTCTGGAAATAATTAATATTCAAACGTTATTTTACAAACTATTATCAAAAAAGTGAATGAAGGCAGTTCAGTTTACAGTTTAATTGTAGATGAAGCATGACATGCTAATCAATAATAAAACATTATGCATTAGACATAAATAAATAAACTAAATATTATGGATACATTCGTAGAATTGGTAAAAGTAAAAGAATTAAATGCTCAATGTCTCACTAATTATATCATTGAATATCTAAACTCAGTTGGTTTAGACATAAACAAAGTGTGTAAGTCAATTTTATAATGGCGCATCAGTTATGTTGTGTTCTGTCAATGGTATACGAGTAAAAATTAAATAACTCTCTAAAAAAAAAAATTCCTTATAAATATTGTTATGTACATGAGCTTAATCTTGTTTTGGTTGAAGTTTCTAAACCAAATGAAATTGTCGATGAAATGATTTGATTTTTAAAACCAATTTATGCATTTCAATTGATTTCGAATTTGCGTCATGAAATTTCTTCTGAAGTCTAAAAAGATTATGACAAAGTTTTAAAAGTTACTCAATAAAGCGATACAAAATGGATAGCAAAATATAGAAATATTCAATTTTTTTATTTGATTTGAATATGTTTTCAAAGCATGGTCACAATCGTAAAAAAGTTTGAAAACAAAAAAAAGACACCGCAGAAGCTAAAGGATTATTGAACCAATTTTGTTCTTCTTATGCTTTACTTGCTTTAACATTTCTTCATATTATTTTTACTAATTATCAACACACTTGCATTTTCTACTATCAATAAAATGTTTAAATTTGATTGAGGCTACAATAATAGAGTTTAACTATTTACATATAAATTGTTTAATAACATGCATTAAAAAACTAAAATTATTTACTTTAAATCTAAATAATTCTATAAATAATATAAATATGTAATTATATGTACATTGTTTAATAATTTTACCTAGAATAGATTAAAAAAAAAATTTATAATTAAAAATGTAATCAAATCAGTTGCAGGAACTGGTCTGTTTTTTATCCTGGTCTTTCCTCTGTATTAAAATATAACATAACATCGTTAGAATAATGAAAAAAAATTTAAAAAAAATCATTATGTATGTGATAGAATAGAATATTTAAATACAAAAAAACGAATTAGTTTTTAAACTTAATACAATGAAGAGTTAGATGAAAAAAATCATTACCCTATTACTGGTGTATTAGATAAGTTGAAATTAAATCGTTCAAGTTGTGTGTATTATTTTTGTTTTTTGAAAATACATTTGTTCACATTAAGAAAGCATTTATATTGCTCTTATAAAAAGAAAAGAAAGAAGAAAACTATAAAATTTGTACAAAACGAAGTTTGCAGGAAATGTCAGTCAAAAAATATAAAACATGTTATTCTCCATGTGCTTACTGAATAAAAAGTAGGCAAACGTCAATAGGAATGCATTCGTGTACCTATTTTGCATATATAATTCCCCGTTGTAAATATTCTACTCCTGATTTTTTTAGTTAAAAATACTACACTCTTTAATAACTATGCAAAACAAACATAAAAGGTTTATCGGTTAAATATTATTAGAGAAAAACATGACATTTATCCACTTTAAAGTGCTTTCTATCTATTTTATAGAAATAAGTAAGCGTATTAAATTATATTAAATAAAAAACAAATGATTATCTATTTAATACTACATTATGATATAATCAGATCACATAAATCAACCAAAGCAAGGTGTTGGGTTTGTAGTTAACAAAGAACTATTCGGGTCTTAATCCAGTCGAGACATTGCGATGGTATGAAATCCGTATGTTCACAATAAGTTAAAAATTCTTACGTCTTGATTTTATTATAAGTATTAAACCACCACGTTGAAAATTTCATGTGTATTCTATTCGGTTGGGTTGATTCATTTAAATAATTTAAGGAATCTTAACACATAATTCCTGCGTTTTACGTTAATTTGTTAATGAAGAAATTATAATTCATTTCAACAAAGTCTATGTCAGCCAACTGTCACGCCATTAGTGTTTATAATTGAATATTAATACATATTAAAACACGTACTTGCTTTGAAACAATATTAAATTTATCTCAAGTTGTATTTTCGAATATTTAAGCGCGTGTGAAGTTGGCAATTTGTAAACTGTTTAGGTAAACATTAAAAATTAGGGATCCCTTATTGTGTGAATCGAACGGTGATGAGATGAAGGTGTTTATTTATATGTGCGTGTGTATGAATGGAATCGGCTGAGAGAAAATATTTAATAAAAATAAAAACGTCGATTTCACGTTTCGCTATAACCTCAAGCTGTTGCTTCGCGTTTGTGTTATATTACACACGCGTGAAATTAATACTAAATTGCTTTTTAAAACCAAACTTCAGATCGGTTATTATTTTTTTTTATTTTAATAAAATATAAATTGGGCTTCTATTGGGGTTTATGTGGCGCAGCGAATCATTCAGTCGCCGCCTTAGAGCTGATGTTCAGCTGAGTTGTCTGCTGTTGTTTCTCGGATGGATGACCATACGGGAACTTTAATAGTGACACACACCTTGCCCCTTTACTGGTTTCCTCGGCCATAGGTTGCGTGAGTTCGACAGCCGGTGTAAAAATCCTTTAAACTATTGAAAGGTAGAGCCGACATCAAATTATTGGGATAGAGACAAAGGAGATAATGATAATAAACTAGGCTTTTATTGTGAGTAATAATAAGTGTACATATCACTATAGTTATTTTATAATAATCTGCTTTTTATCGTAATATTCTTAGTCAATAACCGAGAGATGAAAACTTTTCTCCGAAGAACTATTTTAATTAAAAAACAAGACCTTGTTATTGTTTAATGTTTTTTAGTAAGAAGAATTAAGACAACCTGTATAAAATTATATAGATGTACTGAACAGATACTCGTAATTAGACTTTATAATACAATTAAAGGAATTTTGTAGGCGGTTTAAACGGTAATTCTCTGTTGTAATGGAGATTAAAACAAAAACAAAATTTTGTGGTTGAAAATATTTATAATTTCTTAAATTTAATTAAGAAGAATAGTATATTCTTCTTAATTAAGAGGGACAGTGTAGGCGAGTTTGTAACTCTGCACTGCTTAATGCGCACTGTCTCTGGTTCGAGACTTGGTCGCGAAGAGCTCCGTTCGTTGAATGAGAGATCAGTTCAGTAGTTGGAGTCGCCATATTTCTCTCCGGGGAGAAGTCAATGGCCCTCGATGGGCCGCAAAAGTGAAAAGAAAGTATATTTTTTAACTAGAAAAAAAAATTATAAATATATTTAACCGATATTTTTTTGACATAAGTTCAGACGAATTAACTCTCTGTTCATAATAACTTAAATCATAAATTAAAATTGTTTGAATAGATTAGGAATCTTAAATTTTTATAATTTAATTTAGAATTCAGTTCAGTTTTCTGTTAGGGAAACATATATAGGAATAATTTTACATTATTTTATTGGTATTTGCTTATCCAAAGTTTTTATCTGACTTAAAAATCGTCTTAGATATGAAATGAGTAAAAGAATATGTATATATTTTATTGAATATAGCTAAAAACCAATACCGCGTACTCAAAAGTTTTCAAGTCAATAACCATAACTAATTTGAAACTTTGATTTTTAGCTGTGTATATGCTAATCAAAATCTGGGAAGTAATACTCTTGTGGCAAATTTAATGTAAAAAAAGTTCCTCGGGTGCATAGTACAATACATCGAGTTATGTGAATAGTATATATTTTAATAAACCAAACACTCAAATGAGAGTTATTAGGTATATACGAATTGTAAGTGCACATTTATCATTGTAATGACGGTGGAAGCGACAAGATTATGCCAACAATAATAATCCTTCTTGGGTAGAGGAATTTGCATAGCAAATAACAGTAAAATGTTCAAAACATTACCATTGCGGTTGTGTATTAACATAATAATTTTGCACTAGCCCCCCGACGGGGTTGGTTGCGTTTAATTGGACACGGCAGTTCGACACAAACTATTTTCGACATGATCGATTTGTTTGGATATAAATTTCATATTCCACTGGTTTCTTCACGAAAAAAATGATTACATTTTTTCCGTTCCGTTTGTCTGAAAATCTGTATATCATTACGTCATTTACCGTGGACCTACCGACGCAACTGAACTGAAACTAACACCTCATGAAATATCTTCAACTATTACAGCCGCTTTTGAAGCTTGTGGTTTTAACTGTGCGACGCATAATAAACTGAACATTGATTATCCGTGGCATTGATAACGCAATGATGGCTGTACATTTAGCTAATTTAAATTTTACTCCAATATTTCATTTTATCAGATTCTGCTAAAACCTTCATTTTCATAAAAAAAGAAAAATTGCCTTCATTTTACTTAATTCAATCCGACCGTTGAATTTTGAACACCACTATTTACAACGCAGTAGTTTTAGTGAACAAGTAAACGTGACCTTGTTAAACTGCAAAACAAAAATACTGTTAATACAAGGGGCGGTAAATAATATCGCGCTCACCCGGTGATTAATAAGGGAGGATTTGATTGAAGTTGGATATATAATAAAAGAAGGCTGTGGTCGCTGGTTGGGTCACATAAAATTCTATTGCTCATACTATAAAAATAATATATAAAATACCAACACTAATTACAAATGTCATCCGTGTGACTGAAATTACAAATAACCTCGTATAATTAAATAATAACGAGTC